CCCATTCGTTTATTTTTTGTTCGGGGACTAGTTATCCCGAAGTAATTTTGAAGTCCCGACTGAACATAGCCCTCAGAAATTCATTTTCGCGCATAATTTTGAAACAAAAATTTTCTGAAGAAGTAACAGTCCTGAGCAACAAAAAAAGCGTTACACTTACAAATGTTAGTGAGAAAAAAAAAATTTCCGAGCGGTCTCATTACAGCACGAAATATTGCAAAAGCGCAAAATCGCACGGGTCCACCCGCGCACCGGGTGGACCCGTGCGATTTTGCGCTTTTGCAATATTTCGTGCTGTAATGAGATCGCTGGGAAATCCAGTAGCTAGAAATGTGTGATATACTGCTCTTCGAAGTCCGAAAAGTTTGAACAGGGGACATTTCGCTGAAATTTCGGCTTTCGCATTTTCTGATCCTTGAGTTAGCAATTTTCCTGCCAAAGTTTATCAAATTGAGCCCTCGGTCATGCATGACAACCATGCACGCCCGTAGGCTCAGTTTGATAAATTTAAGTCGTAAATGGGTTGGACATCCCTTGAAAATTTCAGCCACCCGTCTTTCCAGGTTCCCAAGTTAGCCATTTCTGTGCCAAAAACTTTCACGGGACCGTACATGAGAACCATGCGTGCCCGGGAGGTAAATTTGATAATTTCAAGTTGAACCTGTGCTAGGAACATCCCTCGAAAATTTCAGCTTCTCAGCTTTCCTGGCTCCCAAATTAGCCATTTTCCCGCCCAAAATTTTCACGGAACCGTACGTGAGTATCACACACACACACACACACACACACACGCTTGATGACTGAGCTCGATAATTTTAAGTTATATTTGTGCTGGGAACATTCCTCGAGAATTTCAGCCTCCAGCTTTTCTGGTTCCTGAGTTAGCGGTTTTCGCGCCAGGGACCCTCACAGGACCATACGCGGGAACCACGCACACCTGGGGACTGAATTTGAAACCTTTGAGTTCTATGTAGACGGGGGCACTTTGCTGAGGAATCCATTAGCAAAACTTTGGTCCTGGGGCTTACTTGGGGTGCCGAGTTGAAATACCACGCTTACCCGGGGGTTGGATTTGAGCTCATTAGCAACTACCTGGACGAGGAACATTCCCATAAAATTTCAGCGCTCTAGCTTTTCTGGTTCGCGAGTTAGCAGCTTACCCGTAAAGAACTTTGGCGGGCTCTGACGTGGGAACCACACGGGAAAGGCCGCCCATTTTAGGACACACACACACACACGCACCGGGGTCGCCGCAATACGCGTTTTCGGATTTGCATATATGCAAAAACGCACAATTACTGCAAATATACGTCATATAAAATTTTGTGAGGCATATGATGATGGACAATGACACTGACCTCTGCCACCTAAACCCTTGGGCTTCTGCTGGGAGACTAATCGCCCCCATGACCAGTTCCAGTAGTTGGTAAAATAGTATGTGACGTAAGTTGAACTCGTCTGTCTGGCTCTCAAGCAGTCGTCGGAGGGGAGGTCTATTAGCATCGTTCCCAGTGGTACCCCTCAGATAAATTTATGTGAAATGTGAGTATGTGATGTGTATGTGCGTGTGTGTGTGTGTTGGGGGGAGGGGGGGTAGCGGATATACAGGGCCCACATGCGGAAGCGAGCTGTGCCTTAGAATTTCATAAAAATTTCATAGATGTGACAATAGTACAGCCCATGAGAAAATACACCAAATATGAGCTGAATCAAGAACCGTAATAGATAATCCAAATCAAAGGCACAAGAGGTGAGCGAAAACACGAACTCTACTCCGTATAAAACGCTGCCTGGGGACAAATACAGCTAAAACGAAACGAGACGACGGAGGGACACGAAGGAACTGGCGAACTGTGAGTGGTACCATAATTAGTCAACCGGGTTGTTTTTATAGGGCAGTGAATCCATTAGCGCTGGAACGCGCACTATCCTCGTTTCGGATCTCCGGTGTGTACTCCAGCCCTTACCAGGACTTCAAGATTTACGCGGTTGGCTGATGCGATGCTGGGAAAAGACTTTTTTTGAGAATGGGGACCCTTGAAGGGGATATCAGGGCCTGGGATTTGGTAGTGGATCCCGACTGGAATTTTATTTTTCTTTCATGGCCCCTTTCCTTTT